GTCTGTCCTTGTTTCATTACGTCAGTCCTTGTTTTATTATCGTCTGTCCATGTTTTATTATCATCTGTCCTTGTTTAATTATCGTCTGTCCTTGTTTTATTATCATCTGTCCTTGTTTAATTATTGTCTGTCCTTGTTTAATTATCATCTGTCCTTGTTTTATTATAGTCTGTCCTTTTTTTATTATCATCTGTCCTTCCTTTATTATCATCTGTCCTTGTTTAATTATCATCTGTCCTTGTTTTATTATCGTCTGTCCTTGTTTTATTATTGTGTGTCCTTTCATCATCGTCTGGCCTTCTTTTATTATCATCTGTCCTTGTTTATCGTCTATCCTTGTTTTATTATCATCTGTCCTTGTTTTATTATCGTCTGTCCTTGTTTCATTATTGTCTGTCCTTGTTTTATTATTGTCTGTCCTTCTTTTATTATCATCTGTCCTTGTTTAATTATCATCTGTCCTTGTTTTATTATCGACTGTCCTTGTTTTATTATCATATGTCCTTTTTTATTATTGTATGCCCTTGTTTTATTATTGCCTGTCCTTGTTTTATTATCGTCTGTCCTTGTTTTATTGACATCTGTCCTTGTTTTATTATCATCTGTCCTTGTTTTATTGTCATCTGTCCTTGTTTAATTATCATCTATCCTTGTTTAATTACCATAAGTCCTTGTTTTATTATCATCTGTCCTTGTTTAATTACAGTAAATCCTTGTTTTATTATCATCTGTCCTTCTTTTATTATCATCTGTCCTTTTATTATCATCTGTCCTTGTTTAATTATCATCTGTCCTTGTTTTATTATTGTGTGTCCTTTCATCATCGTCTGTCCTTCCTTTATAATCATCTGTCCTTGTTTAATTATTGTCTATCCTTGTTTTATTATCATCTGTCCTTGTTTTATTATCATCTTTCCTTGTTTAATTACCATAAGTCCTTGTTTCATTACCATCTGTCCTTGTTTCATCATTGTCTGTCCTTCTTTTATTATCGACTGTCCTTGTTTAATTATCGTCTGTCCTTGTTTAATTACTGTATGTCCTTTTAATATCGTTTGTCCTTGTTTTATTATTATATGTCCTTGTTTTATTATCGTATGTCCTTGTTTTATTATCGTCTGTCCTTGTTTTATTATCATCTGTCCTTGTTTTATTATTGTGTGTCCTTTCATCATCGTCTGTCCTTCTTTTAAAATCATCTGTCCTTGTTTAATTATTGTCTATCCTTGTTTTATTATCATCTGTCCTTGTTTTATTATCATCTGTCCTTATTTTGTTATCATCTGTCCTTGTTTAATTACCGTGTCCTTTTAATATCATTTGTCCTTGTTTTATTATTGTCTGTCCTTGTTTTATTATCATACGTCCTTGTTTTTTTTATCATATGTCCTTTTTTATTATTGTATGTCCTTGTTTTATTATTGCCTGTCCTTGTTTTATTATAGTCTGTCCTTGTTTTATTGACATCTGTCCTTGTTTTATTATTGTCTGTCCTTGTTTTATTGTCATCTGTTCTTGTTTTATTATCATTTGTCCTTGTTTAATTACATAAGTCCTTGTTTTATTATCATCTGTCCTTGTTTAATTACCGTAAATCCTTGTTTTATTATCATCTGTCCTTGTTTTATTATCGTCTGTCCTTGTTTTATTATTGTCTGTCCTTTTATTATCATCTGTCCTTCTTTTATTATCGTCTGTCCTTGTTTAATTATCATCTGTCCTTGTTTTATTATTGTGTGTCCTTTCATCATCGTCTGTCCTTCTTTTATTATCGTCTGCCCTTGTTTTATTATCGTATGTCCTTGTTTTATTTTTGTCTGTCCTTCTTTTATTATCATCTGTCCTTGTTTAATTACCAAAAGTTCCTGTTTTATTATCATCTGTTGTTGTTTTATTATCATTTGTCCTTGTTTTATTATTATATGTCCTTGTTTTATTATCGTCTGTCCTTATTTTATTATCGTCTGTCCTCGTTTTATTATTATCTGTCCTTGTTTTGTTATCATCTGTCCTTGTTTAATTACTGTATGTCCTTTTAATATCGTTTGTCCTTGTTTTATTATTGTCTGTCCTTGTTTTATTATTGTATGTCCTTGTTTTATTATCGTCTGTCCTTGTTTTATTGACATCTGTCCTTGTTTTATTATCGTCTGTCCTTGTTTTATTATAATCGGTCCTTGTTTTATTATCATCTGTCCTTGTTTAATTACCATAAGTCCTTGTTTTATTATCATCTGTCCTTGTTTTATTATCATCTGTCCTTGTTTAATTACCGTAAATCCTTGTTTTATTATCATCTGTCCTTGTTTTATTATCATCTGTTTTTATTTTATTATCATCTGTCCTTATTTTTTTATGGTCTGTCCTTGTTTTATTATTGTATGTCCTTGTTTTATTACTGTCTGTCCTCGTTTTATTATGGTCTGTCCTTGTTTTATTATTGACTGAACTTTTATTATTTGTACTTATTTTGTTATCATCTGTCCTTGTTTAATTACCATATGTCCTTGTTTTATTATCTTCTGTCCTTGTTTTATTATCTGTTCTTGTTTTATTATCATCTGTTATTATTTTATGATCATCTGTCTTTGTTTTATTATCATCTGTTCTTGTTTTATTTTCATCTGTACTTGTTTTTTGGGTGGTAGGATGGGGGTGCTATAAATAGAACCATCATAATTATCATAATTGCAGTATGAATAAATGCAGAAAAAACAATAGCAAAAACTTGTTCAAGTCCATAATGGACATAATTTAAGCCAGTCACATTATCAGTCTTTAAAGGCATGTTCACTTTTGTCAGAAATGTGACCTGATAAAACCCAGTTTGGAGTGAAACTCTCAAATAAATGCATTGTGCTGAGGAATGAGTGCTGGTTAAACCTCTAAAGAATGGTAAGTGGTAAATGGACTGTACTTATACAGCGCCTTTCTATCTTATTTCAAGATACTCAAAGCGCTTTACACTACAATCTGTGCCTCATTTACCCATTCATACAGCACTCTACTAGATCTCTACAAAGCTAATTGAACAAATCATTATAAAGAGACTAGTCAGTGCTTTAGATCACATTCGTACACTGATGGGACACACATCAGAGGCGATGAGGGGTTCAGTGTCTTGCCCAGGGACACTTTGACATGTGACTGCTGGAGGATTCGAACCTCCAACTCTCGCATTGGAGGACGACTGCTCTAACCACTCAGCCACAGCCGCCCACAAAAAAGAAAGAAAAGAATCATAGGGAGTCAGTGATTCTGTACCGAAATTTACAAAAATTCTAAGTTGCATTATTACCAAATTCACCCACGCACTTTTTTTTTTAAATATTGAGATCAATATTGCAAATTTGTGTGTGTCAAGAGCTTTTTAAGGAAGTTGTTACCTTGAGCAGTCACACTGCAGTATATTCTCTCTCAGCCCTCTCACCTAAAAGCAAACAATGTGATAAATGTTTTTGATGTGTCTAAGTTAGGGCGAAAAGTGTTTTATGCTCTCTGTAAGAAGATTTACTTGGCTGGTAGTAGTCATAGAGGGTGATTACAGCTGGTTTGAGGTTGTGCACCAAGACCTGCTGTAAAAGCACCAAGTGGTGGTTGACTGGTATATCCTTCATAACCTGAGCAGAAAACAAAAACAGAACATGTTCAGTAATTAATTCACCTGGCATTGCATAATACTCCATACTGTCCATTGCTCTCACCCCTTCCAAGTACACCAGAACATGGCCATCCTTGTGTTCAACCCGATTCACCAGCGGAGCTCCTTTGAGCTACGAGCGGACACAATTCAGCTGTTTTAGTACCATCAGCTCACAAACAGACATGTTTCTTATACTCCTTTATTCAGGTGGAAATCACTAAAGTCACTCACGATCTTCAAAGACTGGGGCTCTGGGACGAATCCCGAAAGCAAGGCAATGTCAAGGATCAACATGTTGGAGATGCCTTCTTCTCCACTGTACCTGGAACAGAACAATAAAATGTGATGATGGGTTGTTGGTACTTTCTTATGAGCTTTTTAGTTTTGGCTAATACAGAAATAACAGTCACATTTATGTTGAAAGTCAGAGCTTCTTTATTTGTCATTCGCCACCACATGTAGTGAAACAAAATTGTGTACGCAGGGTCCCAGCTACATCCAACAATAAAATGTAAAAGAAAAACAGTAATAAGATCTAAGATATGAACTAAGAAAAAGGTTAACTAAAAATATGCTGAGCATTAATAGCATAAAAACAATCAGCCAAACAGCAGCATGAAAATGAGTCTGTGTGAGCAGCTGAGTATGAATGAACATAGCAACATTGAAACAGATCAGCAGCAACATGAAACAGATCAGCAGCAACATGATGTGATTTTTCACAGTGATTATTCTGGTTAGAGATTCATGAGTCTAACAGCCTCAGGGTAGAAGCTGTTCCTCAGTCTAGTGGTTCTACACTTAATGCTCCTTAACCTCCTTCCTGAGGGGAGCGAGGCAAAAAGTGTGTGTGCTGGGTGAGTGTGGTCCTTCATGATTCAGGTGGCCCTCTTCCTGCATCTGTTGGTGTAGATGTCTGTGATGGTGGGGAGACTGACTCCAACATCTTCTGTGCAGCCTTCACCACTCTCTGCAAAGCTTTTCTTTCTGCAGCTGTGCAGCCTCCATGCCACACGTTGATGCTGGAGCACAGGATGTTCTCCACTGCACACCTGTAGAAGGAGGTGAGGACTGAGCTTCCCAGTCCAGCTCGTCTCAGCCACCTCAGGACGTAGTGTCTCTGATGAGCTTTCTTGATCAGGCTGATGGTGTTGTTGCTCCAGCTGAGGTTGTCATTCAAGTGCACACCCAAGTACTTGTAGCTGGAGACCACTTACACTGCAGATCCTCCTATGTTCAGGTGGGGATGGTGTGTTTGTTCCTTCTGAAGTCCACAACCATCTCCTTTGTCTTCTTCACATTGATATGAAGGTTATTCTCCTTGCACCACCTCTCCAGGTGTTCCACCTCCTGCCTGTAGCTGGACTCATCGTTGTTTGTGATGCATCCCACCACCGCTGTATCATCTGCAAGCTTTACAGTGACAGCCTAGATGATAGCTGCACAGTCATACGTGAGCAGAGTGAAAAGGCGAGGGCTCAGCACACATCCCTGAGGGGAGCCAGTGCTGAGAATTAGAGAAGTTGTGGATCCTCACATGCTGTGGTCTGTTTGTTAAGAAGTCTAGGACCCAGTTGCAAATAGAGGGACTTAGTCCTAGTGTGAATAGTTTGTCCATCAAGGTTTGGGGGATCATGGTGTTGAAGGCAGACATGAAGTCCACAAAGAGCTTACGGATGTAGGAGTCCTTCTGCTCCAGGTGTGTGAAAGCAGTGTGGACCACAGAGGAGATGGCATCCTCTGTTTATCGATTATTGCGGTATGCGTACTGATGAGGGTCCTCGTTGATGTTGATGGTTGTTTTGATGTGAGTCAAGACCAGTTTTTCGAAGCATTTAGTGACTATCGAGGTGAGGGCTATTGGCCGGTAGTCATGAAGACCAGTCACTTTAGAGCTCTTTGGGACTGAGATGATGATGGTGGTTTTCAGGCAGTTGGGAACTGTTGCCAGGGTGAGTGAGGAGTTAAAGATGTCAGCCAGCACCTCGCAGAGCTGATCGGCACATTCATTCAACACTTTCCTGGGGACGTTGTCTGGGTGAGCAACTCCTCACTTCGGCTGAGGTCACGCTGAGAAGCTCTTTTTCTGGTGCTGAGATGAGTCTGGTGCTGGGTGGTCTGTTCAGGTCTTCAAAGCATGCATACATTAACTCATATGTAAATGAGTCTCGTGATATATCTTTAAGGGCTGATATCGTATGAGTCTTGACGTCAGTCATAGAGCACAGAGTATGAAGAAAAGAACATGGCTTTTTACAGGCTAGGACAGGGCTATTCAACTGGCGGCCCGTAGGCCAAATCAGGCCCATAATAATAATAATAATGATAATACTTTATTTATAAAGCCATTTAAAACAGCCACGGCTGCAACAAAGTGCTGTACATATAAAATCAAGAAAGTTTAAACACATAAAAATAAAAAAAATTGATAAAACATTAAGATCAATAAAAACAATAAAAACAGTGCAGATCAAATTCAGTGTGTGCTAAAAGCCAGGGAGTAAAAATGTGTTTTTAAAATAGTTTTAAAACTGGACAGTGAAGGGGCTTGTCTGATGGGAAGAGGGAGATCGTTCCACAGTCTTGGAGCAGCAACAGAAAAAACTCTGTCCCCTTTGAGCCTCCGTTTAGACCTCGACACCTCCAGGAGCCGCTGATCAGCTGATCCGAGGCACCGAGCAGGAGAGTACAGGTGAAACAGCTCAGAGAGGTAGGATGGAGAAATACTATTTAAACATTTAAAAACAAATAAAAGAATCTTAAAACGAACTCTAAAATGAACAAGAAGCCAGTGGAGTGAAGCCAGAGTGGGGGTGATGTGCTTCCTCTTTGGAATTCCAGTTAGAAGCTGAGCAGCAGCGTTCTGGACCAACTGGAGGCGTCTGAGGGAGGACCGGCTGACTACAAGGTAAAGAGCGTTGCAGTAATCCAGCCGAGAGGTGATGAAGGCATGGATTACTGTTTCCAGCTGCTGTTTTGTGAGGATAGGCTTTACCTTAGCCAGCTGTCTGAGGTGATAAAAACTGGTCTTGACCACCGCTCCAATCTAGGAATCTAATTTAAAATCACTGTCCATTTTAAAACCCAAGTTAGAAACTGGTCTCTTTTAATGTGGAGCCAGAGGACCAGATCAATAGGGCAAGGTTCACATGAGCCACTAGGACCAAACGCCATAACTTCTGTTTTATTTTCATTAAAATTTAAGAAGTTTAAAGACATCCAGGCTTTGATGTCTTCAAGACACAACAGAAGTGGCCTAACTGAGGGGGCATCTTTCTTTTTTTAGTGGCATGCTCCAGACTGGTACAAAAGAACGTTAAATGTTGGATCCAGGACAGTGGCCCTATACTGAGAGATTGTTTTGAACGAATAGTCTGGCAGGTTTTCAGAGAAGCTGCTGAAAATCGAGGATCGCTTGATCTGGACCAATACGCATCCTCAGTTCTGGGATACATTAGCACATGTACTGACACTGTCTCCACCATCATTCATTCATTCAACCTTTATTTAAACAGATAAGTCATGTTGAGCCTCAAATACTCATTTACAAGTGAGACCTGTTTGGACAGACAATAAAAGTGATAAACTGGACACATGTAGAAATTGGAGGTGAAAAAAATCCTATCAGACTTTTTTTTTCCTGCCTGAGAAGAAAAAAACTCTGATATTAAAAAACACCTCACACAAACGAGCACATAATGACGTAGACATTCTGCAGAGGGGGGAGGCGAGAGCAGTGAGCATGATCATAGATGCTCTCGAGGGCATTGTAAGAGTTCTGATAAAGATGTAATAATCAGTCAATGTCCTCCGGTGAGATCCATAAGCATTCTTGAGGTATGTCGAGGAATGGCCAAGAATAATGACTATGAGAATCCAAGAGTCCTGAAATAATGACTCAAAATTTATTCAGCTGGTTCCATCTGGTTATCAGTTGGAAATTCTTCAGGAAGGGGACGGTGAGGATCAGATCACATGTTCTCCAGGCGAATTCAGATAAGATGGCCTTCAATGCCAGCCAAGGGAGTCAAATTCAGATAAACACACAGCTGTTTTGGGGACAGGCAGAACTTAATGACATCTACCTTGAGTCTGTGTTGGTCCACTCGATTCCGAAATGTCCACACCGATGGAACATGACTGAGTAAAATCCTCAAGATCTGATCCATTCTTCCCAAAGCATTTGAGTCCAGGTACTCAAGACACGAACCAAGCCATCATAAAGGCAAGCAGCGTGATTGGGTCCAAAATTTGCTGCAGACAACTTCCTTGATTGTAGATAAAACCATCAACCAGCCGAATCCAAAAAGCAGGAACCAGTTATCGTAAATCCAATTAAATGTGCGTCCTTAAAATCGACAAATGGCAACAGAGACACATCATCAAATCTTAAAGTCGATGAGATATCCAGCTGCATGCATGCCAACAGGGCAAATCGGCTCGCCTAAAGCCTGTCTTCTCTTCAAAGAAATGTTGTAAATTGAGTTGAGGGACCAACTGATCAAAACAGGTCCATAATTATGGTTCGGAAGATATACAAGAGATGTTCAGAAGCAGTTTCACAGACAGACAGAGCAGCAAAGCAAAGCGGAGAGGGAGGGGAGAAGCGTCCGATCTCGGCAAGAGCAAGTGGTGAAGTGATGTCAGATATGTTAAAAGTTACCCGAACAGAAAACCTTGGCTAATTGCAGAAGTGTGCACCCTGCTGGAAGCCAGGAACACTGCCTTCAGGTCTGGAAACTCACAGGAGCTGAGAAGGACAAGGGAAGAGCTGGTTGCCGGTATTAAGAGGGCCAAGGCCACATATGCACAGAGGATCGAGGGTCAATTTACCTCACAAGACCCTCGGATCACGTTGAGGGGCATTAAGAGCATAACAGTTTATAAAGGAAGGAGCGAACAATGCCCCAAACACCAATCCCTGCTTGATGCCCTCAACAAGTTCTATGCATGCTTTGATGACCTGAATAGACCACCAAGCACCAGACTCACCTCACCACCAGATGAAGAGCATCTCAGCGTGACCTCAGTAGAAATAAGGAGTACTTTCAGGAGGATAAATCCGCACAAAGCAACCGGTCAAAACAACATCCCCGGGAAAGTGTTGAAAGAATGTGGCAATCAGCTCTGCGAGGTGCTGGCAGACATCTTTAACTCCTCACTTACCCTGGAGACAGTTCCCATCTGCTTGAAGACTGCCACAATCATCCCAGTCCCAAAGAGCTCTACAGTGACTGGTCTGAATGACTATTGGCCAGTGGCCCTCACCCTGATAGTCATTAAATGCTTCAAAAAACTGGTCATGACTCACATCAGAACAATCATCAACATCAACGAGGACCCTCACCAGTATGTATACCATGAGAACCGATCAGCAGATGATGCCATCTCCTCTGTGGTCCACACTGCGCTCAACCACCTGGAGCAGAAGGACTCCTACATCTGTATGCTTTTTGTGGACTTCATGTCTGCCTTCATCAGCATGATCCCCCAAATCCTGATGGACAAACTATTCACAATAGGACTAAGCCCCTCCATTTGCAACTGGGTACTAGACTTCTTAAAAAACAGACCACAGTCAGTGAGGATCCACAACTTCTCCTCCTCCACCATAACCCTTAGCACTGGCTCCCCTCAAGGATGTGTGTTGAGCCCTCTCCTGTTCACTCTGCTCACGTATGATTGTGCTGCTACCCATCCAGGTTGTCACATTGTAAAGTTTGCAGATGATACAGCGGTGGTGGGATGCATCACAAACAATGATGACTCCAGCTACAGGCAGGAGGTGGAACACCTGGAGAGCTGGTGCAAAGAGAATAACCTTCACATCAATGTGAAGAAGACAAAAGAGATGATTGTGGACTTCAGAAGGAACAAACACACCTATACTCCCCTGAACATAAGAGGATCTGCAGTGGAAGTGGTCTCCAGCTACAAGTACTTGGGTGTACACATGAATGACAACCTCAGCTGGAGCAACAACACTTCCAGCCTGATCAAGAAAGTCCATCAAAGACTGGGGGCTTAGCCTTAGCACTATGCTTACTCCAGACTGTCACCCAGCCGGCCTGGGATCCCGGCTGCTTGGGATCTGCTGGAGGACCGCTAACAAGACTTATTATATTAAACATACAACCTGTAAACTAAAACTTGAGTTGATTTGTTTGTCAACTGTTGGTTAAAATATACCAGATTTAGAGTCTTTTTATTAAACATCCTTCTTTAACCTTATTTCAAACCAAGTCAACTGTTTTGTTTGAAACACATAAAAAGTCAGTATATAATCTACTTAATCTAATTTTACTTTGAATTGATATTTTAAAAATAAACCTGTTTTTCATCAGTTATTTTATATTTATTGGATGATTTCAAAAAGACAGACTGACATGGTTCAAGGGTCATATTTGCTGATGTGAGCTTCAATCTGTTGCCATATCTGTAATCTCTTTTAGTAACTTACAGGGACTTGATGTCCAGAGTGAGTTTGGGTTGCCGAGAGGTGTCGTATTCTTGTTTTATCTCCACTTTCACAGTCGTGACCTCAGGAGGAGGTGGGATGTTGTAATGAAGAGAAATCTGGGAAACAAGTAATCACAAAAGATTTAATAATCATAAAACATAATCGCCAGCATCAAGGCTTTAATAAATGTACATTAATGCAGTAGTCCCTCGATACTTCAGTTCAACTTTCGCGGACTCACTCTTTTGTGTGTTTCGACACACGATTGTCAACTTTAATATTACTCACATGATTGGGATGGTACGGGATAAGACGTTAACGGGAGCAGACAGGAGTGGGAACTAACCAATAGGACAAAAAACAAAACAAAAACTTCTGACAGGCATCGCCATTTTCTAGTTTTCTTTCAATAAGCCTATACTGTAACGCAAGTTAAAAGAACTACACAGCCCAGAAGCCAGCAGTGCTTCCGGCCGCTGCTTTCTGCCGAAATTCAAAGAACAGCAAAGGAGGGATCAAATACTAGCAGAGAAACTAATGTGGTAAAAATGCAACGCAAAGTCAGAAGTAGCAATGTATCTATTGAGCTCACACAACTGACAGGAAAGTTGTAAATAATTCTGATGCTGAACTCATTCTTCAAGTTGCATCTTCACTGGTGAATACCCACGTACAATGTTGCAGTACTGTACAGTACCTATACAGGTACGTATGTTGTTAAAATTACATCGGTTTAAGAGTTTATAACATTGTTAAGAATACTGCAAGAGTGTGGGAATAATTTATAAAACCTTAAAATATATATAAATAGTACAATAAACATAATGTCCCTACTTCGCAGATTTTCACTTATCGCGGGGGTGTCTGGAATGTAACCCCCGTGATAAGTGAGGGACTACTGTATAACCGTTTTTCTTTGGTTGATCAAATATAAATGATTTTGGTTCCAAACAGGAGTGGTACTCTTTCAGGTGACGCTGTCACTGACCTGCACAGAGGCACATCCAGTGCCCTTCACCTTCAGATGGTACTTTCCTGTTGCATCCTGCAGCATCTTCTCCTGGTAGAGCAGTTTGTTGTCATGACTCACATCAAATGTCAGCTCTCCACTGGGAGACTGAACTGTCACTGTGTTTGAACCTTCTGGACTGAAAACTCGACTGGAGTAGAGGGACAGAGCCTGAAGAGCCACCACCGTGTCCTGCAACAAACAAAGTGGAATAAATTGTCAAGTTAGGTCAATATGGATTTGAGCTCAGACCCAAAACCAGTATTAGGTAATGGTGTAGGGTTGGAAAAAGTAACCTCAAAAAGTTCAATGAATGTTTTATAAAGAATTATTTGCGTGTGTTAAAGTTAAAAGGTTGAAATATTCAAATGTTTTATGTATTCAGAATAATTAATTCTCTATGTAACCCATTTTGTGATCAGAGGAGGGTTGAATGAATAGTCATTAAGTGAATTTTTATGCTTTTAATATCTACTTTTCTGTATAATTATCACTCTTAAGGGTTAAAATTGAGAATATATGTTAGAAGTGCTTTAAACATGGTTTTGTGAAATGATAGGTAATTCTTGCACTTCCAAGACTGTGTAAGGTAACCTGCTGGGAACAGCTTGAAATAGTACACAATGAATAGGCCTCGCAACAATTGTATGTGATGGGTATGTCCCCTGGCAGCACGGTGGCGCAGCTGGTAGAGCTGCTGCCTCTCAGTGAGCAGGTCCCTGGTTCAAACCTCGGTCCGGGGGCCTTTCTGGGTGGAGTTTGCATGTTCTCTCCGTGCATGCGTGGGTTTTCTCCAGGTACTCCGGTTTCCTCCCACAGACCAAAAACATGCATGTTAGGCTGATTGGTAACTCTAAATTGTCCCTAGGTGTGAGTGAGAGAGTGAATGGTTGTTTGTCTCGTTTGTCTCTATGTATCCCTGTGATGGACTTGCGACCCCTGTCACCCAAAATGGAAAAAACGAGTAAAGATGATGGATGGATGGATGGGTATGTCCCCCCCACACACATACACGTTTAAAAATATTCATTTGAACCCCCCCACATTTGCCATGAAATATTAGTTCATCCAGCACTGTTTCTATTTGTGAACGAATCCATTCCACTCGAATAAGTCAGAGTCGGAGCCAGAGTTTCTTTGTCATTTGCACATGTGGTGCATGCGGTGGAACAAAATTGTGTACACAGGGTCCCAGTTACATCAATAAAATGTAAAAGAAAAACAGTTAATAAAAGAATACGCCAACAGTAGGGATTGTGTTACCTGGTGTCGGGCTCCTTCTTGTGGTGTGTCTAAGTTCCTACTCTCCTGCTGTCTTCTTATAATTAGTTAACTCTTTGCCACCTGTTTGTCCTACACAGATCTTTCTGTCTTACCCTCGTTAGTGTCCTGTGTTTAAGTCTGAGTCCTTGTGTTCCCCATTCTCTGGGCATTATTGTTTAAATGGTGATGGTTCCTGTATTTCCTACGTGTCTCTTATCCATGTAAGTTTTACTGCCTCTTTTGTTTATTTAATACATTCTTTATTTTTCTATTCCTCTGAGTTCCCATGGTCTGCCTGCAAATGGATTTCAAGAGGAAAACACATTAAAAATCCACTCCGGGTTTTCCTGGTTTCCTACAACTCACCACACCGCATGCAGTGTTTCTGTTGCACCCTTGAAAAGAACTAAAACAATTACATAGATTTTTGCTTTCGTGCAACTTTGTTAAACAAAACCCACGGCTCTAGCGTACAGCACGTGTAGTTCTCTGCCATCAGCGTACACAACACACCATCACGGGTCATGAACTCTATTCCTATTATGCATTGCATCTCTCTTAAAGAGGCATTATTATGACAGAATTCCATGAAATTAAAAAAAAAAAGTTTTAGCACATATTTCACCATAAACTAAATGAATTGTTTTAAACCAAATATCAAATGAAATAACTGCTTGACCAACAAAATCCATATAACAATTAATTAAACATCATCACATTCCTACTTATCTTCAGGGCTCTACACCCTCCCCTACTAAAATAATAAAATGTTTGCAAAGCATTTTACACTTTAGAACTTAAAGAATGTATTATTGCCAATAACTTCTAACAACTTTCAGGTACCATTTAGTTAAGTGTTGCACTCTAAAACAATAACCAATACATCAAATGACTACAAATGCATGTTTACAGGATAAGTAAATTTAATAATGTTCCTGCTTTGGTGTATTAACTTAAATCATTGGTACATTGGTAGGCCTCCCAAGTCCATTAAGTCACATAAGCTAAATCTACCATTCCACCTTAATAAATATATCCGTATTAAACATGCTTTGAAATGTAGTATGACTTCTTACAGACTAATTTTGTGTTACCTTGTAAACACACACTTTCTTCTGTAAACACATCACTGACTTATAATATATACTTATACTATAGTTTTAATCACTAGAAATACATTTCTGCAAAATGACTTTTACCTGTAACTGAATTATTGTACCAAATGAATAATGAAACATTTTTAATTAACTTCAGCTGTAACTGGAACTTAATATGGTTCAAACAACTATCCCTATTTATTTAAATATGTGAAAATAGTTTTTCCTTACTCATCATAAGTAAAGTTAGATTTTGGTTGATGTGTTCTTGAGGAACGTCCCTCCTGCTCCACCTCCTGATCACCCTCTGACGAAGCATTAGTGTCCTCCTCAGACATTTCAAGTTCAAGTGCTTGATCTTCAATGTCCATGTCAGTATTTTGACTCGTGTCTTGGTTCTGCTTGTCTCCTTCCTCATGTCTGTCATTCAATTCATTACTGACCTCAGCAGAATCATTCTCACCCTGGAACTGGCATCGTTCTTGTACAAGTCTCCCTGTTTATGTTTCTACTGCAGGTTGGCTTGATTTGGACTGAAAGACTGGGGCATGTGGGTTGAGGCGGGTCGTCTGACTTTGACGAGGAATCCACGCAGAGTACTCATCCTCATTACAGCTGTCAGAAGCTTCCTGCATATTGTCTTTAGTTTGGCATGTTTGTCTGTTTACGTTTCTCTTTTGGTTATATTTCTCTTTTGGCTCTTCAGTGTCCAGGCCATCAACAAGAAAAGGACAGGGTAGTAAAATGCTTCTGTGAAAGATTCTTTCCCTCCCTTCACCATCTAATGGTGTCACCACATAAACTGGACTGTCTTGTCCTCTCCTTTCTTTTACAATGTGCGTTTTGTTTTCCCAGTAAGCACGTATCTTTCCAGGTCCTCCTTTTTCAGATAAGGTTTTGAATAAGTATGTGGTCTCCAGGTTGAAGTTCTGAACTCCAGGCTTTTCGGTTGTAATACTTTTGTCCTCTTTCACTTGCTTTTCTCATGTTTTCTTGTGCAATACTGTAAGCTTCCTGCATTGACCTTCGCCATTTGTCTGCATAATCTTGGTGAGACTGTGACTGCTTTTGTTCCTTTGGAAACAATAGGTCAATAGGAAGATTGGCTCTCTTCCAAATAACAGAAAGAAAGGTGAAAAGCCAGCCGATTCATGAACTGTTGAATTGTATTAATAGACTACTTTATTTAAATAGTCTTTCCAGTTAGATTTCTGTGTCTCTTCCAGTGTTTGGAGCATGCTCAGTAAAGTTCTGTTAAAACGTTCACTTGGGTTAGACTGGGGATGGTAAGGTGTCTTTCTTGAATGTTGTATCCCACTGTAACTTTGCAACTTTCTGAGTAACTCATTCTTGAATTCCTTTCCTTGATCATAATGGATCCTAGCAGGGTATCCAAATCTCAGAATAAAGTAGCCAAAGATTTTGCGTGCAGCTGTCTAGTCAGACTTGTTAGAGGTTGCATAAGCCTGCGCAAACTTAGTAAAGTGATCCACTATTACAAGAATGTACTCTGCTCCACCTTTACTTCTTTCTAGATGCAAATAATCAACTGAGATTAGTTCAAAAGGTGAGGAGGTTGTAATAGTTTGTAGTGGAGTTTTAGTCTTTTGGTTGGGTTTCTTTTGTTTCAAGCAGCGGCAGACTCTTTTAACATGATGTTCAATCTCTTCTCGCATTTTTGACCAAAATAATCTCTCTCTGGCTAATGAGATCATTCTGTCCACTCCTAAATGACCCATTTCCTCATGTAGCTGCTGATAA